ACGTGAGCCCCGGGCTCCCCGGGCGGGGTTGGGGCGCCGCACCCCGCCGCCTCGGCCTCCCAGCCCCGCGCTCCTCTCCGCAGGACCCGCTGTACGGCTCGTGGCAGCGCGGCGTAGACTGGTTCGCCACGGCGATCGGGATGCCGGCGGAGAAGAGGTACAACAGCGTCCTGTTCGGAGGTACGGCCGAGCCGGTGGCCGGGCTGGCCCCGCTGGGGGGCCTGCTGCTACCGGGACCCCCTGGCTTCTTGGTCCTCACTCTCCGCCCCCCGTGAGTCGCAGTCTTCTCGTTCCTGGGCCTTCTGCACCCTCCTCTGCCCTCCTCGCCCTCCCCTGGGGCCACCCATCGTGGAGTCGGTGGCCTGTGCCACCCCTGGCCGTGGGCAGCCCCTGACGGTGCCATCTGTCCCCTAATCAGGTCTCATTGGCTCGGGCTTCTCCCTCCTGCAGTTCCTCTCCGCGCCGCTCACCGGGGCCGCGTCGGACTGCCTGGGCAGGCGCCCCGTGATGCTGCTGTCCCTGGTGCGTCGGGCCGTGTCCGCGGGGTGGGGCCGCTGGGCAGCGGGTAGCACGGGCAGCTGTGGTTCCTCGTGCTCCGGAGGCCGAGCCAGGGGCCCTGAGAACACGAGGCCCTTCCCTGTCCCCCAGATGGGCCTGGCCACCTCCTACGCGGTGTGGGCTGCCTCTCGGAGCTTCGCGGCCTTCCTGGCCTCCAGGGTGATTGGGGGCATCAGCAAGGGGAACGTCAGCCTCTCCACAGCCGTCGTCGCTGACCTGGGCTCCCCGTTAGCCCACAGCCAGGGCATGGTGAGTGCGCGCCAGGCCCGCGTGGGGCGCCCCGGCCTCCCAGGCCCACTCAGGTGGCCTTCTCCGCAGGCAGTCATCGGGGTGGCTTTCTCCCTGGCCTTCACGCTGGGCCCCATGCTCGGGGCCTCCCTGCCCGCGGAGACGGCGCCCTGGCTCAGCCTGCTCTTCGCAGTGTCGGACCTGCTCTTCATCTTCTGCTTTCTTCCGGAGACGCTGCCCCCGGAGAAGCGGGTAGGGCTGCGGCAGGACTACAGGCACAGGGCCCCCCAAGTGCTGCTGTAGGGAGGCTTTGCGGGCCTCTGCTCCCAGGGTCCGTCCCAGCCACGTGCTCCAGCCTTCCCCAACCCTCCCACAGGCGCCCTCCCTCACGCTGGGCTTCCACACAGCTGCCAACCTGCTCAGCCCCCTCGCCCTGCTCCAGTTCAAAGCTGTTGCCCACAGCCAGGAGCCCCCTAGCGCAGACAGTAAGGAGCCTGCCCCTCCCGCAGCCCTCACCCCTCGCCCACCCACGTAACCCCAGCCCACCCACAGCCCCACGCCCTGCAGGGCTCTGCAGCCTGCGGCGCCTGGGCCTGGTCTACTTCCTCTACCTCTTCCTGTTCTCGGGTCTGGAGTACACCCTAAGCTTCCTGACGCACCAGCGCTTCCAATTCTCCAGGTGGGTCTCTGGGGATGCCTGGCCTCGAGTGTGCCCCCAGCCCACGCCGGGGAGCCCCCCCTCAGGTGGTTGCCGTTGGTGGCCCTTGGCCTGCACTCACTCTCTGCCTCGCAGCCTACAGCAGGGCAAGATGTTCTTCTTCATCGGTCTCACCATGGCCACCGTCCAGGGCGCCTATGCCCGGCGGATCCGCCCTGGCAGAGAGGTCACAGCTGTGAAGTGGGTAGGACACCCTCTGTAGCAGGCAGCAGGTGGTATCCCGGGCAGGGCCAGCCATCAGCCGGGTGCTGAAGCCGCTGTCCCCACAGGCCATGCTGCTGCTGGTGCCAGCCTTCCTCCTCATCGGCTGGGGCCGCTCGATGCCTGTGCTGGGGCTGGGGCTGCTGCTCTATTCCTTTGGTGAGTGCTCCGCGGGCGGGAGGGGACACCGGGCACCTCTGGCCTGACGGCCTCCCCCATATTCCCCACAGCGGCTGCAGTCGTGGTGCCCTGCCTGTCTTCTGTGGTTGCCAGCTATGGTGAGCCCCTCCCTTCCAGAGATTGCCTGGCCAGCCGGGAGGTGGAAGCACCCGTGACACCTAACGGGGTCTCCCCACAGGCTTACCAGGGCAGAAGGGAACAGTCATGGGCACACTGCGGAGCCTGGGTGCCCTGGGCAGGGCAGTGGGGCCTGTGGTGGCCGCCTCAGGTAAGGGTCTGGAGCAGCACTGAGGACATGCTGTCCCCCCACCGGCCCCAGCGTCCTCATGGACTCACCCCCTCCCCCCACAGTGTACTGGCTGGCTGGAGCCGAGGCCTGCTTCACTGTGTGCGCGGGGCTCTTCCTGCTCCCTGTCTTCCTCCTGCGGAAGCTGAGGCACCCAACACCAGGGCTCAAGGCTGAATAGCTAAAGTGCCGCCAGCCCAGTCGGGACCATCAGGACGACTCCCCACTGCCAGAGACCCCTTCCTGCCCTGCCTAGCAATGGCCTGGGGAGGGCACCTCACCACTCTGCTGCACTCCTGGGGTGAGGCACCAGCAGCAAACCTGGGCAGCAGAGCCCTGGGTGCCTTGCCCTGCCTGCCTCACTCCCCCCGCCTGAGCAGGCTCAGTGACACCAAGGCCTTCAAGCTTCTGTGCACGTTCTGCCTCAGTGGCTCAGGCCCTGGGCCAGGCTTCTGAATGACAAATAAAGCAGCTATTTTGTACCAGCATGCTCTCCAGGACACCTCTGCCCTGCCACCTGCCCACAGAGATGCACAGGGGCCAAGGCCCAACACAGTGCTGGGCTCCCCTGCAGCAGAAAGCAGCACCAGCTGCAGCCCCAGGCCGGGGTCAGGCCCCGGACATGGGATCACAGGATGGGCCTTGAGCTGTGGTCCTCACGCCCCACACCTCTGCTGAGCCAGGCAGGCTGAGCCGGGCCCTAGGATAAACTCCCATCCCTGGCCCTGACTGGCAGCCCCCAGGTAGCATTGCAGGTTCCAGGGCCGCAAGAGCAGGTGTCAGGACATCTGGCCAAGAAGTGAAAACATAGGGTTCTCGCTGGAACACGAGACACATTTCGGAAATCCTACTTTTAGGGGATGAAGGTATCTGAAAACTGCTAATAGAATATAGACAAGGAAACTGCTTAAAGAGTTTTATTTGTGAGTAAAACATGTTACAATGAAGAAAGGACATCCAGGACCTGTCCTCCAAGTCTGGTCCATATATGCAACTATATTTCATGTTGTAATACAAAGAATTAGACTACAAAAGTGAAAATTAAGGTCACTGCATATGTGGGATACAGGAGGGGCAGGAGGGTGAGAGTCAGGGGCAGGGCAGGGAGCGTCCTACCACCGTGTGGCACTGACAGGCAGTGCAGAGCCTGCCACTGGCTCAGTTCTGCCCGGTGTTCCATTAGTGGGAGCCGTGCCAAGACCCGAGCCCGCCTCCTGACACCGTCTCCCGGGGGCTGACCCTGTGCGATGCATCTGGAGCCCCACAGGCTCCCCCCGGCCATGGCAGGCCCTCAAACAGGTCACCTGCCCACTCCCGCAGGAACGTCCCAGCACTGTCAGGGGAGAAGGTGCAGGCTTCATAGATTGTACTGTGCTGGGAGGGACACTGAGACCAACTTCCACCTGGAGTTCCGTTCATCACAACCACAGTGCCCTCCGGCTGAGGTAAGGTGGGGACAGTCCCCACTCCATTCCAAAACCCACAAACCAGGTGACCAGTGCTCCACTGCGGTCTGCCGCAGGCTCTAGAGAGAAAACTAACAAAAACGCAACCTGTTCATAGTCACAGTCAAAATGAGGCTGAAAGGCAAACCTGCTGAAAGAAAATTCTAGAAAGGACTTTTCCCTCCTGGAATCCCTCCCCTGTGAAAGGATCACAGAGACCTGTGAGCAAGGTCTCGGGAGCTCCTGAATCTGGTTCTGGTCGGGGTCACCAGTGAGACCATGCATAGCATTGCGCTGGGCGCACACGGGCCGCGTGACTGGGTTCAGGCCAGCTACAGCCCGAGCCCAGCTCTGCAGGGAGCCACGGGCCCAGGCCGTGGTGGGCATGCGAGAGCATCCACAGGACGGGGCCGTGTGCGGGATAAAGGGGATCACTGAGCCAGCGGAAGCCACGAGTCAGATTCAGTCACCTGAGACACCTGGGCTGGAGAGCCGAGCAGGGACAGGACGAGTTACATCACAAGGAGTAAGGGTGAGGGGCTCAGGAGGGCGCACCTGTAACCAGGGGGCGAGGCCTCTGGAACCTGCCACCAGTGCCATAATGGACCCCCCTCAGGAGAACACAGCTCACAGCACCGAGCAGAGCCGCTCCCAGGCTGAGGGACACTCGTAGCACCGCTCTGCGGGGGCTGGTTGAATGGGGTAGGGCTCTAGCTACACGAGGGCTTGGATTTTTGCATTCCATTACACAAGAGGACAGAACAGGACACGCGATCAGGACCCTGGTGGAGCCAGAGTCGCTGCAGACAGGACTGTGGTCTGCGCGGGGCCTTCAGGGGTCACGCTTCTTGCTCTTCTTCAGGAAGGAGGGTGTGCGGAACTTCTTCTTCTTCTTGGACGGGGACTTGCCTGGGGACCCGTCACTTCCAGGGTCTGCAGCAGACCCCTCCTCAGCAGCTGGGGAGGCTACCTCTTCAGCCACCGCGGCTGAGGCTGGCTCTGGCTCTGCTGCGGCAGGGGCCTGGGGGCGCGCAAGGGGGCCAGGGGCCTCCTCCTCCTCCTCCTCCTCCACTGGGGGGAAGCCCAGTGCTTCTGAAGGCTCGTCAGGGGACAGATCAGGGAGTGTCGGCTTGAAGGTGGCAGCGTCACTGTCGTCTGCAGAGGGCGGCTCCTGTGGGAGGTCTGGTGGTGGGGGTGGAAGATGGTGAGAGCTGGCAGCCTGACGCGGGGGTGCTGGCCCCGGAGCTGCCACTTCGTGCTGTTCTATGGCCCTTTCCAAGACAAGCCACTCTGCCTAGGTCTTCTCTACAAGAGGGCTGCAGAGAGCCAGCGGCACCAAGTGCACGCTCAACCAGGGCACTGCAGTGCCCGCTAGTGAGCACGCTGGCCAGCGGGGGAGCACCACATAGGGAAGGACTTGGCTCAGGTATTAGTGGTTCTGCCCTTCAGCCTCCATCTGGTCCCACGGCAGCTGGTGTCCCCAGGGCAGCCGGCAGAGCTGTTTAACAAGGGTGGGGAGAAGGAAGAGCCACAGGCTGAGAGCAAGCTGCAAGCCTGATCTGTCTGCACTGGGGCAGTCATGTCTCCCCTTGGCCCCGGGGACACCAGCATTGGAGACAGATTTTAAACAATCCAGAGTTACACACAACTGGCATGTTAGGCAACATCAAACTATTTAGTACTTAAATTCAGCCAGACATCAGCACAGGAGCAGCTGGGCTAAGCAAAGATTCTAAGCAGCCTGGCCACAGGCGTGCTGGCCCCAAGCCCTCACTGCTGCAGCCTGGGGCAGCTGGAGGACCTCTGAAGGCCCCTGCATGCGACCCTCTGCTGATAACTCAGTGCCACGCTCACAGCACACTGTAGGCGCCACCCCACCCTGGCCACACTTGTGGCGCTGATGGGCACACTCAGGAGAACTGGGGTCATCTGACCAAATGTTACTTTTCTTTTTTTATTTTTTGCGGTACTGAGGGTTTAACCCAGGACTCTGCATTGAACTACGTTTCCAGACCCTTCTCTATTTTTTTTAGGCAGGGTCTAAAGTCACTGACTTGCTCAGGCCAGGTTTGCTAAGTCACTGAATTGCTCAGGCCGGGTTTCAACTTGCAATCCTCCTGCCTCGGCCTCCCAGAATGCTGGGATTACAGTGTGTGTCACCACACCCAGCTTCACATCTCTCAAAAAGCACAAAGTATTGCTTTCAGCCTACTTCAAATTACCAGTCTCCATTTAGGCACAGGCCCAAACAATCCAGCACGTCAGTGGCAGAACCCACTTGGCTGGAACCAGCCCGCATTTACATCTAGCCCAATTTGGCAAAACCTTCAAAGGCTGAGCCCTGAGAACTCCGAGGCCCAGCGTGCTCTGGGCGGTGCTGCGCAGCACAGGGCCCAGGTGCATGATGGACTCCTGGGAGGCCACAGAGGGACAGGTATAAAAAAGAGGGCCTCTGTTTTTGTTCTGAATAAACAGGAAACAAAGCTTCAGAAACAAAGCAGCGGAAAAAGAGCAGAACGCAGGTGCGGGGAGCCGTGCGGGCGGCAGTACTTACTAGGGTAACAGGTACTCTTTAGCACATCCATCTCCTGCTGCAAGGCGGCCACGAGAGAGAAAAGCACAAGTAGAGAATCTATGCATTCAGTCACAGCCACTGGGTTACACTACGGGGTCGAGCCATTCTTGGGGAACACAGAACGGGGAGACACGGTGGACGAGACCACGGGACAGACGTGCCGACCGCACACTGAGAGCGGCAGTGCGTCCAGGGCTGTCAGGACCGCAGCCCACACAGGACGGACGAGAAGTGTGCAAGCAACGGGCAAAACGGACACCAGACACGGAGGCAGGGTCCATTGGGAAGGTCTGCCCTCCACAGGGTCACAACAGCCCCACTCTATGGGGCCTCAAGTCACTCAGGACACAGCAGAGCAGTGAAAAGGCCAGGACTCTGCTGGGGACTCCAGAGCCACATTAGGCGCTGGCATGGATGCAAATACACACTCTGTACTCATATTACAGAACAGTTGCCAGTGCACCACCAGCCATGCACCCTCCCTCCTAGCGGCTCCACCTGCCCAGAGCTCACCTTCCTCCAGCTTGACAGGGGTGCTGGGGGGTGTGTGGGGCACGGCTGGCTGGTCTGGAAGACTCTTTTCTTTCTGTTCTCTAGAGTCATCCATAGTTTCTGCAGGTGCATACAAAGGAGAAAGAACATGTAAAGCTTGAGACCAGGGAAGTCCTCAAACGTGCCCGAACGCCACGCATGGGAGGCCGCAGATCTCTGGGCAGGAGCCCTCAACTGTTTTCTGATGACACCCACCATGCTCAGAACTCCCCTAGCTCCAGCTCCCATATGTAGCCCTGCCAACCAGTGCCCTTCCCAAGTGTGAGGAGAGACAACTCCTTCCGCCTGCCCATCCCTCATGACCAGGCTGAAGTGTGGACTGCACCCTGGTCAGCTCCTAACCAGCCTCAAGGTCTGGACCTGCACACGGCTATCCTCACATGCAACGCTCTTGCTCTGCTCTGCTCTGCTCGGGGCTGTGCTGGCCAGGCGGTGCTCACCTTCGCCTTCCCCTTTCTGCTTGCGCTCCACCTCCTTGCGGTACTCCTCCAGCTCTCGGTCGGTGAGCGCATGGAAGGGGTTGGGGCCCGCGGTGCTCACGATGACATGCGGCTGGTACTCCTTCTCAATGATGGCCTTGGAAGCCGTCACCAGCTCCCCCTGTGGACGACAGGGGGGCATGGTCTGCAACAGCCTGGCAAGGCAGGGACTCTCCCTCCTCCCAGCAGGCGGTAGGCAGGGGCAGGCTTTTCAGGAGCAGACAGACGCCCCAAGACTGCATCAGCAGGGGCCCAAGGGAAAGGCAGAGCTGCAGCCTTCGGTGGCAGAAGACATGGCAATAGTTCAGTGTCCCTCAACAAACACAACAGAAGAAACCCCGAAGAAGCCCGCAAGTCTGAAAGCACAGACAGCACAGACGTACGGCGCAGAGGAGCCTCTCCCCTCTCCCGACCCTATGACGCCCGACACTGCACAGTGAGCTCTGCCTGTGACCTGGGTGACACCAGCTCCTGAACCTAACCCAAACAGCCTGGAACAACATGCCCGCACACTGAGGTCTGCCTGAGGATTTAGAAAACTGCTAGAATCCACGTAGAAGAAAAGCAGTGAGCAAAGCAATGAGCCAAACGGGCTCCTTGGCTAGGTCCACAAAGGGCACAAGGGCGGCACAGGGCACCACCAGGCAGGCACAGAGGTGGCCGCGGCCCACACCAGGCAGCTCTTTGCTCACAGCTCAGCCTCCTGGGCTGAAGGAAGTGGCCTTGGGTGGTCTGGGGTCACAGCTTCACACATACCCGGATCTTAACGAGCACTTCTAGACATGAAGACAGGGAAAAAACAAAAAAGACAGGAGCACCCCGGACCACAGAGACGCTGGCGGGAACCTTTGAGGGAAGAGCCCCGGCCCACTCCCGGGGCAGCCCACACTGCCACTGCTCCTCAGCTGCAGTTTTCTGCACAGCACATGGCCATTGTGAGAAGGGAGGGCCGGCGGGCACGCAGCCGCCTGCTTAGGGGCCCAGGACTCCTGGCCAAGGGACCCCTTCTGACTAGCCTGACCCGAGGTTGCCTGCCTCATCACTGAGAAGCAGCCCCACCACAGAAAGACAGGGAGGAGGGAGTCCCTGCTGCTCTGCCAGGAGACGCCCATTCCTGTTCAGAGGCCTGGGTTTACGACTAGCGACTAGCGACTAGCGAGAGGACTCTCTGGGCTCCCGAAGGCCAAGATCCCTTCAGGCAATGGCATTCTGTAAATGGACCCACACCCTGCTGTCACTGACAATAAAATGAGGTGATGGGAGGCTTCAGAGCCCTCAACTCTTTAAATGTCCAAAATTAGTAAAGGAAAAAAAATAGCAACAATCTGTCACTGAGCCATCAGAGCCCTTGTTCAGTCTCGTTTTTTGTGGTGATGGAACCCAGTCCCCACCACTACTACAGCCCAGCCCTTGAATCAGTTTGAGATAAGGTCTTACTTGCTGAATTGCCCTGGCTGGCCTCAAACCTGCAATCCTCCCACATTCCTGGGAGTACAGGCTTGTGCCAGCACATCCAGCTCGTTCTCAGCTTGAGGACCTGCATGCTGGGACAGCACGACAAGCAGCATGCCAGGTCCCTCCACCGGCAGACACTCCTCCAACCAGATACCTCTGAGCAGATGCGGGCCAGGGGGGAGGAAAGGGGCGGGCCTGCAATGTGGAGCCTGGGCTGGGGGATCAGAATAGAGGGTAGCCAGTCCCTCCAGTAGTGGAGGCTTTAGAAGCTGCCTTCCTTCCTCGTCACCTGCCAAAGACTTCAAGCAACACCGATGCCCAAGAATTATTTCTGTACTCGACTGAGGCGGTGTGGGTGGTAACTTAGCAAGAGTTCATTGCAAACAAAAAAAAAGGGCTGAGGATCCAGCTCAGGGCAAAGGCCCTGGGTTCAGTCCCTAGTGGAGGAGGGAAGAGGAGGAAGAGGAGAAGGAAGAGGAGGAGGAAGAGGAGGAGGAAGAAGAGGAAGAGGAAGAAGAGGAGGGAGAGGAGGAGCAGCAGCAGGAGCAGGAGCAGCAGCAGGAGGAGGAGGAGGAGGAAGAAGAAGAGGAAGAGGAGGAGGGAGAGGAGGAGCAGCAGCAGGAGCAGGAGCAGCAGCAGCAGGAGGAGGAGGAGGAGGAAGAGGAAGAAGAGGAGGGAGAGGAGGAGCAGGAGCAGCAGCAGGAGGAGGAGGAGGAGGAGGAAGAGGAAGAGGAGGAACAGCAGCAGCAGCAGCAGCCCTTCTGAGTAGGAGAAAGCAGAGCTTTCACGTGCGCTCCGTGCCCCTCTGCCCCCTTTCTATGGGAAGGTCACCCCTGCACCACGCAAACTGCCACCAGGGGCACTAGAGGCCAAAGAGGATCCCTCCACACAGCCCCACCTCACACGGGCTCACAGGCAGAAGCAGGAACCTCCACATCCGCCGCACGGGGAGGGAGTTTAGGACAGTCCCCTCCTTGACTCAAGGACAAATCCCGGCTTCCAGACAGCAGCGAACACCATGCTCCTCCACAAGCAGTAAGACTGCCTGCACCGGGAGGCTCACCCAAAAGGAGGGAGGGGAATGAGTAACAAATGCACAGCCCCAGTAAAGGACATCAACGACATCAAAGCACATTCTCACCATAAAAATGAAGTATGCGCAGTCAGTGTGGCACGGGCCAAAATGCAAATGTGAACTTGAGAGACGGAGAAGCACAGGAACACAGAAGCTAGAGAAAGATTTACACACAAGCTAGGGGTGGGGCTCAGGGGAGCACGGGCCTCGCACGTGGCGATTTCCCGGTCTCATCGCCAGCGCTGCAGATGAAATAACCACACAAGGTGTCAACGTCTCTTCACCTGGAGCCAGCGGGGTACAGGCTCTGGCCAGGACATGCACAGCAAACATGTGCACAGATCGTGGGGACTCTGCGTCTACTTATGAAATACCCAGGGGACGGACACGCCCACATCTGAACACCTCTGGGACAGAGCAAAGCCGATGAGGAACCACCCCAAAACACATCCTGGGACACAGCAAGCCCGCTGCCTTCCACAGGACCACAGACAAGACCCACCAGTGCACTGAGTGCTGAAGTGCGCTCTGCAACACACAGCACCGACTCACGACCACACGCCACCACATACCCGAGCTGACAGCAGCTTAGGGCTCAAGGCACCAACACCAACGACACGATGACAGGGAACAGCGTACATCTTCCTGCCTTTTCCAAGAAGCTGCTACAAGAATGGTAGTGGGAAGAAAATTCTAAGGACTGGGAGAAAGGGGACCCATTGAATTAATATAAAAATATGCAAACTAATGCTCTGAGCAGGAATTCTGGACAGGAATACAGACTCCTGGCACAGACCTGCTCCCAGCTGGCAAGCCCAGCACAAGCGCAGTCCCGCATCTCACAGAGGGCATTCAGAGTGGAAGCACAAGGACACAGGGACACAGAGCGCTTACCAACTCTACCCCATGCAGCCAGAAGTACCCTGCCAGGACACCAAGTCCTACACACACCTGTGCCCAGCCCAGGTGGAAACGCCAGGCTTCCGGGTACTGGGCACGCCGGGTGTGCATGCACAGAGAAGCTACAACCTGGGCTTTGAAAGGTACGTCAATCTCCCCCACCTGCGAATTCAAGCAAACTGCCTGTGGGCTTTTTCTGCTTATCTGGCAGTACTGGGGACTGACTCCAGGGCCTTGTGTGTGCCAGGCACATGTCCCACTGCTGAGCTGCGTCCACAGCCTTTTTTACATTTTGGTTTAAGACAGGGCCTTACTAAGTTGCTCAGGTTGGCCTCAAACATGAACCTCCAGAGAACGTCCTCAGCCTCCAGAGAAGCTGGGAATACAGGCGTGTAGCACCCTTTCCAGCTCAGGTATTTTTTTATAAACACATTTTCATCAAAGGGTGACAAATGTAGTCTTGTTTTACTTTTCACTCCTCTGAAACAACGTCTTTCAGTGACACAGCCTCCAACTGCTAGGTCACAGATGAATGATCGAGGAAGAAGTTATGCAGGAGCTGCAACAGCTGGCAGAGCCCAGAGGAGCAAGTTTGCCCTCGGCCTCTTGGAGGGTAAACTCTGCAGCCCAGAGGCAGGCACTGCCAGTCACAGGCAGGACTTCCAGTCACAGGCAGGACTTCGGACACACGCCACATCGAGCACACTGGCCACTTCTCAGCAACAACTTCGAATGCTGCAAATTGCTAACGTACCTCATACCAAACATTCTAATTGGAGTAGAATGGGCAGAACAGAACCTCTGGACACCCTCACAGATGACTCTGAGATCCCTTTCGAGGTACGTGAGTAACAGACAGCACCTGAGAGGGTGGCGGGTGGGGAGCAGGGGGAGGAGAAGAGCACCGCGCACCGACAGGAGGGGAGGACAGGGCAGTGAGTACCTTTCTAAAAGAGAGAGACTTAGCGGGACTAAAGGTCTGCTCTGTAAGCTCGAGCCCTTCGATAGTTTCCGTACAGTCAGAGAGGGGTGCGTCCTGCAACAGTAAACTCAGTCACCAGAGCACACCAGGCCCAGCCTTGGAGATATCAACTGAGAGCACAGGATGAAGCCAGCTACGAGCATGCAGCAGGGACATCGTCAACGGTAATGGTGAGGGTGGAGTGATGATGGCAGCGCGTGCAGACACTAAACACAAAATTAGGACTAACGCTGGCCAGATTCAGAAGATGCGACACCACTCGTCTACCCCTGCGGAGTCAGGTGGGGAGGTATGGGTGGCGCTATGAGAGTCAGCGATAACTACTTACACACTATCTCCCCTGTGCCCCTAGGAGCCCTTTACGGAAATGTAAACGCGGACCACATTAACAGCGCCCACCCTGACGACCCAAGCAGCGTTTGTTGCAGACATGAGTATGGTAGTCCACCACACCAAACCCCCACTCCTAGCGCTTCCACAGCACCCTGGCAACATTGTGTACCCGCCCCCAAAGCTGGTAGCGTGTGCCCCGTGGGGAAGCATGCACTACCAGGAGCAGGGCTGGGGATGGGCGCGGTCCTCTGCATGCTCCGTCCGGCTAGGACTCCAGCGAAGTGGCTAGGCTTTTACCAAGATTCTTAACAAAGGTAACCAGTTGCCTAGAATACTCACCTCATACCGCACGCTCACTCAAGCTCAGAACAACTTTGGAGCAGATGGTTAGTCACCACCCACTAATGCCAGAGACCTTCTGAGCGCTCACCTGGACAAGGCTCCTGTCCATCACTACACCACACAAAACCTGGGACTGGGGGCCGGCCGTCTTAATGTCCTGCAAGTTCTGCTCTCGGATCTGAGGAAGGAAGGAGACACGCACATCAACAGCACAGAGAAGCCAGGATGTTGTCTCCTCGCTCCCAGCCCTGCACCTGCACTTCTGCTCTGCGCAGCCCAGGGAGGCAGGACGGCCTGCCCGATGGTGCTGGCATCGTGCTCAGCAGGGCAGGATTTCCGGCAGGGCACAAGTCCCTCGCCACACTACCTTTGGGGGAAATACCCGCTATGTGCCCATCTTTAGGGACACCATGAATGTGTCCCTGCGCCAGGAGCTCAGGTCCCGATGCAGCCTCTGCTTGAGATCCCTTCACAGCTCAAAAGGAACCCTGAAAAGCACCACCTGCTCTGGCCAGGATCAGATCCGCTACCAGGCAGGTACCAGGTCAAGAGTCGGGAGCCCGAGTCTGCACTCACACTTCACACACAGGTGGGGCAGCAGCAGTGTGAAGAAATGGCTTCAACCCCTCTGCGAGAAGCCAGCACCCCTCCCACCCGCACCCCAGCCCCACCGCACGACAGCAGGACGCACCTTGTTCCTCATCTCCTGGACCTCTTTGGGGTTAGTGTTCAATGGAACAAACAGGTTAGGGACGGCAGAGGTGGAAGTTCTATGTCCATCCTCCTTAGTCCACTGTAATTTCAAGAACAGTTGAAAAGTCAGGATTACGACAACAATAAGCAACAGCATAGCATCCACTGTCCACTCGATCTCACATCTGGTCATGCAGAGAACATCACAGAGAGGACTGAACCAATGACCACGTGAGTCACCGTGGAAGTGGGATGTGGCCAAGTGAAAACCAGTGAATGGCGGGAGTCAGTCATGGCTGTCGGGAAAGGGCCACCTCGACAGCGCAGTGGAAATCTGGGGCACAACATGGGCTGACGAAAGAGCCTAGCCCTGTCACCCTCGGGCCAGCTGAGGGAGCCCCTCAGAGACCATTGGTTCACCGCCCTGAGAGTCACCCAACACCAAAGCCAACTGGAAGCGTGAGATGACAGGATCATGAAAAGCAATGTGACGCTACTGCCTGGGCAGGGAAGTCGGGACTGTGGGGAGAGTGGGCATCACCAAAGTTTCGCACTGAAGTAAATGAGGGCATCAGGATGCACGGCTTGCATGACACTTCGACCCAAAAACTTACTGCATTCGCACTCATACAGTAGCCACCTGGCCGAAGTTTGGTGATGTCAAAAACGTTAGGTAACGGAATGCTTTCAGTGTTACAAAGTACCCCAACCCCCAAGCGCTTCATGAGGCCTTAAAGGCTGTTTTAGGTATCAGTGCATATCCTCAGCACGCTGAGCCTTCTACACAGAAGGGTGTTTTTGGATCTCCAATCGAATCGTCCATTTTTAGTCAAATTCTCATCTTTAGGCATGAGTAGGCACTGAAGATTAAAACAAGCCATCATAGGGAGCAAAGGCTCTCTGCCTTTCAGAACACCTTCCAGAGGCAGCAGAGAGCCGTCAACCATGTGACTTTCAAGGAAGCAACGCAACCTCAGATGCTGAGCCACTGCGGGGAGTGAGGAATGGGCATGGAGCTGCGGGTACTCACTGATGGCCATCTTCTCAGAAAAAACAACTCCGGCGTTTTATTAAAAATAACTTTTAGTCAAACATGAAAACAGCCACCTCAGAAGTAGGAATACATTTTAAAAATGAATAAGAATCAGTAGAAATTAAAGTATACCAACCTGGGAGCAGTGCACGGAACCTGAGTTACTCCAGAACAGTAAGAGACAGAGAGATGCCGAGCAGAGCCCCTGCGGGGCCCACAGACCCACACGCCTAAAGCAGTTGGGTCTCTGCCAGGCTAAGTTACAGAGCTCAGCGCTGCCCTGTGTGCACCACAAAGGCGGCTGGGCAAGGCGCAGGATGCTGGCAGCCCCGAGCGGGCTTTGTCTGTTCCTCTCCCTTCAACCGGTAAAACAAATAAAAAGAGGGACGGAGGTGGGGAAGAGCAGGCTGCACACCTTGCTCTGACGCTGCACAGGGGCACCAGAGTTTCTCACCACTTTGGACCAGGAAGCACCAGAGCCACCTGAGGCAGATAAATCTTTTGCTTTTCTTTTTTAAGTCTATAACATAAAGGCACTGTTACAAGGGGAAAGCTCGCTGTCTGCTTGGTCACTGCTTAAGAACACTGGGCTGCTGAGCTCCCAGGGAGCCTGGGCTCTGGGAACGGGCCTGGCCCGCGGACCCATAAAGACCTGTCCTCTGAGGGCCACGGAGCCCCGTGCGGCGTGGGCACTGACGGGCCGGCAGGGTCGTGGCCAGTGCCTGCAGATGGCCTCTGCTGCACTTGGGTCATGCCGCACCCAGAGGAGCCGAAGACTCGCCTCCACGGCCGTGTACTCACATGCAACAGTCCATGCAGAGGGCAGCTGGTGTGAGCGTTCGGAGGCTTTGGGACGGGGCAGGGAGCAACATCGAGAGAGGACAGGGCCATGGAGAGCGGGCTGGGGCACCGAGAGGGAAAACTGCTTAAGACAACACTAGCAACAAGAGGAGAGCAGAGCCGCTGGAGCCGGCAACACTGAAGCATCAGATCTGGAACTGAGCAACCTGCTCAAACCTGAAACACCGAGAGTGCTCAGACGTGACTCGTACCGAGCGCTCCGCTTTGGGGTTAAAGCACGTGAGCTTGTGAGTGCTTCTGCAATGCACAAAGACAGACTCGGGGGTTGAGCAGACGGGAAGTAACATCTTAAGCAGTTTCACATGGAGAGCATTATTTAGATATCCAGCTAAGGTGAGAAGTGGACTTAGGCTCAGAGAAAAGTGAGTTAATGAAAACAGGTTGGCAAGTCCGGCCAGCAGGGCCGGGTCCCAAAGCCTCCGAAGCCCCAGCTGCCCGACTTGCTCTATGTCATCTAACTATGAACAGTAAGTAGGCACAGACCAAGCAGTTGGTAATACAGCTTGGCACGCAGACACCGGACGAGAGAGACTGCAGCAAGGGTTTCACGTGATCGTGTGTAATGTTCGTCCACACCTTAGTCTTCGACTTGGGGCTGCTTCCATTCTGCCCTTCCTCTGAAGCTTCCTCAGGCCGGCCAGAGTTCAGCCACCTTGTCTTCTCCCGCTGCTGCTTCTGAAAACTGTGTCTGAGAGGGGAGCAAGTGCCTGAGTCACCGTCACTGGCGAAGGAGTAGCCTGTGACACTCGCAGGAACCTCCACATCGCTGTATTTTTTAGATTTCTCTCTCAGAGCAGGGTATCGATAAGGGTAACCAGTTCTGTAGCCCTAGGAGACAAAAACAGGGCAGGGCGGTCAGCACTCCAGAGTGCAAAGATTCACTTCGGAGGACTGCAAAGTGGCACACACAGAACAGAACCTCACAACGCCACACCTGAGCACATGGCCAACAGAAACCCTGGAGACAGGGTGTGTGTTTGCTGTACTAGCCATCTAACTTGGGCTATGTCCCCAGGCACTTTTGTTTGTTTTTTGGTTTTTTGAGACAGCGTCTCAGTACGCAGTTCAGGCTGTCCTCAAACTCACAGTGATGCTCTTACCTCAGCTTCCCAAATGCTGGGACTATAGGCATGTGCCACCACTCCTGGCTTCCCAGCCTTTTCAAATAATTTTTTAATTTTTTACTGGACTGGGATTGCACTCGGGACCTTTACACTGAGCTATATCCCCAGGCCTCTTTATACATTTTTTAAAGTCTTGCTAAATCGACACGTTGCTCAAGTAGGCCTAGAACCTGCGATTCTAGCCTCAGCCTCCCTAAGCGCTAGGATTACAGATGTGCGCCCTTGTGCCCAGCTCAGAAGACAAATTCTGATAAATGTACAATGGACAGTGGGACCTCTCCTGATGGAGCAAACTGGAAGTAACCTCTAACGCTTCTAACTGGCAGAACTTGCAGGTAGCAAAGGGCTATACTACTCCAAAGCCAAGCACTGTCCTGCAAGTCTGACGCAAGCTGCCACCAACACTACTGCCCTGTAGAGAACTGGTCCTCAGGAAGCGATGCTCCTGCCATGGAGCCTTCTGACAAGAAAGCAGTTGGCCAGGGCCTACCCCCCACATCCCACACTCCACACCCTGCCCGCAGCTCTGGGTCTCCCTGAGCCCATTTGGCGATGCCTGGACTCCCACCCCATGGAACCCTGCAAGTAATTAAGGCCGCAGCACAGAGGGGTGACAGTGGCTTTCAGACAGGTGTTGGTCAAATGACCCAACAGATGCACACCTCACAGTACTGCAAAGTGTATGACAAGGGGACCTAGGCTCCAAGAGAAACAGGGCTATGGTGACACACACAGTCACTCTGCTGCCAGGGCTCTGCAGCAGTGCCCCCAGCCATCGTGGGGCACACCTAGATCCCAGCTCCTAGGACACTGAGGCAGGAGGACTGCCTAAGTCCAGGAGTTCAAGGCCAGCCTGGGCAACATGAGATTCTAAAAATAGAAAAACCACCCTCCTCCCCAAAAAAGAACCACTCTCTCTTTCTCCCTCTTGGATTTTGCTCCTCTTTTGGAGGGGTCACTCCTTTAACACACAAAAAAGGGGTGATAATCACTGAGGAGTCATTTTTTATTTAGTTTCCAAAACTTTCCTCAGAAAGACAGGAAGGTGTTGTTACTGGGAATTTTCCATTGTGAGTGCGCTTTGTTGAGGGATAATAAAAGAGAATGACTCAGCCATAAAAAAAGGCAGTCTCTGGTAACAGTTATTAACTCAACTCTCTGCTCGCTAGAAGCCAGGGCTCTGAGCTGGCTTTGTGTTTGCAGGACACAGCCCCGCGCCCCTAGACATCTTCTGACCCTCACAGAACACCCTTTCTTCTGTAAATGCCGCCATACCAAGACTAGAGGTAATATTAAGAATTCTAAAACCATATTAGCCTTATAGCTAAAAAACATGGGGAGGAAGGGAGGCTCAGTAGAATTTTTTTTTTGGTACTGGGAATCGAACTCAGGACCTTGCACTTGCCAGGCAGGCACCTGTGCCACTGAGCTATATCCCCAGCTCAGTAGAATATGTGCTTAAGCATGTGCAAGGCCTTGGGTTCAATATCCAGCCAGCAGCACACATGTACGCACATAATACATATATGTGTAATGTATATACACTTGTTTTCTTGGAGAAACTGAGTGTGTATCTTGTTTTTGGACCAATTTAGCATTTCCTGTAAATGTAAATGTTAAGGATGAAGTATTTCTTGGTGTGGAAACTTCACCTATTCTTCTCTACCTAACTCAATTATCAGCAAACATTAAATGCAGCAGATCAGATGCTAAACTAAAACCCAGAGTAGGATCAGTGAATGTTGTCCAGTTCACGTCTAATACACTACACAGCATTCTTGGAGGTTTTTTGTTGGTTGTGGGGTTGGTTTTTTTTTTTTTTTTTGAGACAGGGTCTCGCTACATAGTTCAGAGCTGGCCTTGAACTCACTATGTGGCCTAGGCTGGATTCAAGCTCACGGCGATCCTCCTGCCTCAGCATCCCAGGTGCTGAGATTACAGGTCTGTGCCAACATGCCCGGCAGCATTCTCATATTAAAAGTCACCAGCTAATAATCCGTGCACCCTGGAGACTCTGGATAAGGAATGTCTCTTATTAACCATTCATCCTCGACTTCCTCTCCTATTACACCAGTAACTGCCCTTATCTCCACTTACCTCTGCCCCACTCCTAGACTGTGCACGATTACTACAAGGAAGCAACTGTACATGTGGCCTGCTCAGCACCCCTCACCCTGGATGACTTTTCTTAAGTGACACCTCCCTGGCCCTCACCTCATTGCAAATGCTTCTTCTGTCTTCCCTGCTGGCTTCTGCCCCTCTTTCGGCTTCCCTTGAGTGATGCTGGCACCAGACTCCCACCTCTGCCTCTGCAACTCTCACAAACAGAGCATGGGACAGGGCTGTACCTGAGGTCTGTCAGCTCCCTTTCTGAGCCATGTGGTCCTAAGGCAGGATTTATGTCCTGCCAAGGCATTAAGATGGATGCTGGAGCCTCATCTGTAGCATGAGAGGGACCCCCTGTGGGGCAGTTTGCCTCAAACTGTGTGTGGTCTGTGACTTCCAGGCTAGTGTTCTAATCAGGACCCAGGTAAACGACTGCATATGGGAGCAGGCAACCTCTGAGACAGACCTGAAAGCTCCCTGGCAGCGCATCCTCCCAGCCTCCATGGCTGTCTGCACATCTGCATTCCTTCTCTCCACTCAGCTGGTCGGGGTCCTCCCTGTCCCTTGAGGCCACTTCCAAGGGACTTTCTACAGAAAGCTCTCTTCCTAACTTTGCAATGGGATAAAGTCCCTCACTCCAACCTCTAACACAGACTACAACTGGCCAGGCACTGGTGACACTGTTATGTCCCCCTGGTGTGTTGGGAGCCAGCTGTCCTGGCCTCTGGGCCAGGTTGGGCTCCTCTCCCTATAATACACAGCCTGGCACCTGCCCCGAAGCAGACAGAGGGCAAGGACACAGCACTCAGGCCCCACAGACGCAGGCAGAGCTTACAAGCAAAACAGACCCACAGCTACCTGCTTGAGAGAGCCCCTCTGCCGCCGGCTGTGGGAGGTGAGCACTGAGCTGCCTGCTGGCTACCTGCTGACCACGGCGGAGTGTGCTAGGCGTTCCTGTCCCTACTGAGCCCAAATGTCCAGTCAGCTTTAAAAGACAGGACAATGAACAAAACCTCTACCTCTGTATCTTATAATGATTTAGCCTACAAGTTAAAAAACCTTTCCACGTACCCAAGCCCTACGATGAATGTAATCATTCTATACTGCACACATGTACTAATAAAAATTTTAAAAACTTTTAGAATGAGTTTCATGATGATTTTTGAGGGTAAAATCATCCAGACAAGCATGAAGATGGCCATTTCGCTTGCTGTGAAGGCATCGCCATCTGTGTCTTTACAACAAAAGTTTTGTCACCGGCTGGAGGCACCATTCTTACCAGATTATCCAGCATCCGCATGAGAGCTTCAAATTCCTGCTCCCCAATCTGCCACTTGGGAGGTGACCCGCTGCCTTCCCCCACTGGGGGTCCCGGGGAACGGGATCTGGCTTTGTACTTCCCAGGGTCCAGCAGAACTAAGTTGTCTGGTCCTCCTGAGCTGGCCAGGGTTCGAACCTTTTCCAAAACAAGCAAACACGACAGCTTGAGTTCCCAACACAGATCAAGAGCACCAGATGCCTGAGGACACTTGGACAGAAAGGTAGGTCTCAACAGAGAGCAAGTCACTACAGTGTGGGAATATAACGCAGGGCAGATGGTGATGGCACTGATTATAAGGTCATTTTCAGAATTTTTTCCGTACCATGTCAAAAATATTGGGCACTCATGCTTTGTACAGAACGGGAAAACAAAGCACCCTTCTGGATTCCCAAAGTCTTAGAATCTCATGGCCCCACAGACATATGCCAGGTTCAGGGCAGAGCAGGAGGCTGGGGGCAAGCAGAGGACACAGGATGCTCTCTGCCTCTGTTCCTGCTTTTCCAGAAGTGTTAGGGTCAAACAAACTAATACGTGTGTGACATACATAAGGTACCTGATACAGGGCCTGGGGCACCCCAGTACTCCGAAGCGCTAATCACTTACATTATTTGAAAAAGAAAAACATTAGAAATGAAAAGCCCAGCAATCTCTTGTGACTTAAGTCAGTGAAATGGCATTTTCCTGGATGAGCCCAAACTCATGAGCTTGTCTCTGGCAGGAAGCTCTGTCATGAGCTCATTCCTGCAAGAATCTGTAGAGCCCAGGACAGCCACATCAACTTCAGGTAGTCGCCTACCTGGATCTCGCAGGCCACCACCAGGTTATGGATGTAGTAGAAGGCCTCCTCTACGCTCTCTCCGACAGACACAAGCCCATGGTTCCGCAGAATAAGCACCTGCAAGGAGTGGGGCGCTGTGTGGAGCCAGCAAGCAGACAGGCTACCTGAGCTTCTCCACCCACAAACTGCAAGCCCAGAAGAAGCCCCACTGACCTTGCTCGTAGGCCCCAGATTCTTCTGAATCAACACCTTCTCCTCCTCATCAACCAGAATGCCATGATAGTCGTGATATGCCACTTCTCCAAGGGAGAGAGCCTCCGGGGAGATGGGCAGGAGGCCACACTTCATTGCAGACACCTAGGGACCAAGCAGTCACCAGGAAAGAAGGAGCCAGCATGAAACTGTGACCCAGGTCAGGGAAGTACTTTCCTCACAGAATTACAAAATGGGGAAGTGTTTTATTTTGCTCCCTTCTTGCAATAAATGAAGCCATGAACTTAAGTATAAACTGGACTGCAGGGCTCAGTACACATAGCTAGGAGCACCTCAAGAGAAAGCCCGTGGCCTCAGGCTTCCCACTGATCACAAAACTGTGGACGACTTGGGGACCCCAAGTGTGTGTCCACACAAGGAACGATGATGGCTCCCAAATACGCTCCCAGTGCTGTGAGGGTCTGTGTCCTTTCCACCTTAAAGAGCAGGTAAAAGCAAAATGCCTGAAAATTAGTTCAAACCAAAGGTACAGAAGTTTAGGACAGTTATAATTTCTCTCAGACTAAAAAAAAAAATCTAAACAGTCCCACAGCCCTTCAAGTTTCCTGAAATCCTCCAAAGCTCTCCTCTGAATACGGTAATTGGGACAGTCTTCTAGACAGCTAGTAGTGTGCCAACTCTACACTGACACACGCCAAAGACTCAAAGACCTATAGTCATTATTCCATAGAGAAAAGTTTATCTAAAAAGACAAGACCACATCTAACCCCTTTCGGAGTATTAGTTTCAGGGAAGAAACTTCCTTATGAAGCAAAGTTATTCTGATACCTCTCCACCCTCTGCCTCAGTCTCAGGCATGCTGGACAAGCAGCTACCACTGAGCTATAGAATCAGCCCTGGCTTTTATAGGTACGTGGATGCAACTAGAGACCATACTGCTAAGTGAAATGAACCAGAATCGCACGTGTAAACATTGTATGGTCTCCCTAGTGTAACAAACTGAAAGAGTAAATAAGATCCGGAAGCTACAATAGATATTGCGAAAGGGAAAGAAACTACTCAAAAGGAAAGAACAACTGGGATGGGAAAAATAAGAAAAGAAGGAAGGGGAAAAAAACCCATATGTATATATACACAAGGTAACTAAGATAATTGTACTACTAATTTCTATTAGTTCATTGAAAGGAACAATTCATGTTTATATTGTTTGATCAATTTTGCATGCCTGTTTCTGTTAATCTGAGCAACTACTTTGAAGATAACAATAGGCAATATAATAACCAGTTAATTTCTTATCATCTTGTTTTGAAATTCCTTTGTGTCATTTTTATAGTTTTTTTTCCCTCTCTTTAAAAAAAAGCAAACAAAGAGAAGAATCAGCCCTGGTAACTTTTAAGCTATTTCATGGAGCTGGGCATGGTGACACAAGCCTGTAATCCCTCTGGAAGGCTGACTCAGGAGGATCACAAGCTCAAGCCCTGCCTGAGGAAACTAGAGATTATAATTATTATTAAAAAATAATTTTAGGGGCCGGATATATAGCTCGGCGGCATAAGTGCTTGCCTGGCAAGCCTGAGGTCACGAGTTTGATTCCTGGCACCAAAAAATAATAATAATGATAATAATAATAATTTTAAAGGGGGGAATTAGGTATGTAGTTCAGTGCAACCTTAGCACTGAACTAGTTCAGCCTTAGGTTCAGTCCCCAGTACCATCAAAAATAAAAATTACCTGTTATCTGTACGTAATTATATTCTTAAAAGTCCCTGAAAGGTTCTTTAAAAGTATGGACATTTTTAGTGGTTGAAGTAATGTACATTCTTTAAAATAAAAAGTACATCATTCCAAGAAGGATGTGTTTAATAAAACTACTGTTGACTCCAAGAACCATACGTTCAAAGTAAAATAAACATGAGCTAATATTCAGCTACAGAACCCAATATGCTTGACATGAAAATAGTAAGATAGATTAAAATACAGCACTTCTGAATCAATAGTTATCCGCTGTACAACGAGACCGAAAGTCCTCCAAGTGCAAAAAGCACAGCGCTGAAGTATTTTACTCCCACATGACTGTGCTGACAACTGGCACGCCTGTGTGTCCACAGCAAGATGCCTGGAGCTTTTCAGGACCCATTCCCACAAAGAAGTACCACAGTGAGCGGCCCCTGGGCACCTCCTGACCTCCAAGGCCTCTTCCCCAGCTGCCCTTCTTACTCACCCACCATGACCCAGGCTGGGATACCTTGCTCTGGACAGAACATCTGTGGTGCAGCAGTGTGGGCCGGTTCCAGGCCTCACCCTCTGTGCCCAGTCCCTTCCCCAGAGCGGTAACCACGCCCAAGTTGGCCCTCTCTTCCCCGCAGCCTCTGCCTGGAAGGAATCTTGTTTACTGCTGTCACTTTGCACTGCCCCCGCCACAATTTTCAACACAATCAAAGTCACCCCAATTCAGTGCTCTAGGATTCTGTCATTGTTAAGTCAAACAGACATTCAGACATTAGCCAACTCATTACTGGTTTTTCAAGATTAGACAGTCAACAGATCCCTTAAAAAGAAAAGAGTAAATAAATCTGTAAGGAAGCCATACTAGGGGCTGGGGGTACAGTTCTGTGATTGAGCTCTTGCATAGCACATACAAGGCACTGGGTTCAAACCTCAGCCACAAAAGGAAAACTTAATGGGAAACTGGTGTTTGTGCAATGAAGTTAGGCTGACTGCCTGTGTGATACGCTGAAGGCGCTCCCAGGAGCACACTCACCGCGGCCCCAGCGGGCGTGTGGATGTGCACAATGCACTTGACATCCGGCCGGGCGGCGTAAATGGCAGAGTGCAGCGTGAAGCCAGCCTGATTGACTCCGAGGTTAGTGCTTCCACGATCCACTATGTCACCTTGTAGATTTATTTTAACCTGAAATAAACCAGTTAAAGATGTCAAGAGGACCTCGAGTCACCCCAGCTGGAAACTATGTAAACCCAAGCTCGGGTATTCGGGTTCCTCGGGGCTTTTCTCTAGCAACATGACCACTGCTGCACACCTGCTGCGCCCACCCAGGCCCCAGGTTGTACATGTGCAGCGGTACTCAAGGCCAGCCAGGACCCTCACAAACACCTTACCAAGCTGGACGCAGTCACTTCACTGTAAAGAAGCCCAAAAGGAACAATGAGGAAGTGCTCCTGCTCGGAGTTCACTCTGGTCTGTGGGGAAAACAACAGAGTCAGCTCCCAAGTGCCTCTGAAATTACCTGCATCTCTTTCAGGCCACAAACTTACAGGTGAGGTACACGGGGGGCACTTATGCATACTGCCTATCACAGAGCTAGGAAGTACTGGAAGCTGTTTTTATATTAAATAGTAATTTCACTTATGAAATACATAAGGTGCTTCTCAGTCACATTTATGAAAATTGACTTTACAGAGGCCAGGCACGGTGGTGCATGCCTGTGCTCCCAGCTATGTGGGAGGGTGAGGCAGGATAATCACCAGTTTGAAGCTAGCCTGGGTAACACAGTGCAACCCTATCTCAAAATTTAAAAAAAAAAAAAAATTTTAGAACACAAGCAGTTCAACAGTCGCACTCTGACAGGATGGTTAATCACCACTTGCTTACTGCAAATGCAAGCGGTCTCACAGGTAAAAGCCATCACACCTCAAGGCGTAAGAATGATAATGAAAACCTGCTCTTTAAAATCACAAACAAAAGCAATCTGTTTTAAAAGTCTTCACACAACAGCACACCACTCCTCCCTGCACAGTGTATTTCTTTCTGCGGAATTCATTCAGTACAGATCTGGCAATATGTGCCAAACACACACTAGATGCCAGGAATACAGCAGTGAAAAAAAAAAGAAGAGCCCCGCCCACAAAGTAAGTAACTACACGACTCATTCATTTCTTTGGTTTCTGTTTGTATTATTTTTGTTTGTCTGTTTGTTTTTTGGCTACAGGGTCTCACTGTATAGCCCAGGCTGGCCTTGAACTCACAGGGATTCTCCTGTGTCAGCCTCCTCAGTGCTAGAATTATAGATGCACATTACATGCCCAGCTAGCAATCTGGTTTTTATGACAACTTTGTGATAGACTCAAAAGATTTGCTACAGATTAAACTGAAATATACTACACCTGGGTTAAGAGTCAGTGGGATTCAGTGTTTGTAGAACGACTTCAAACGGTGAGTCCAACCTTCTGTCCTTTTATTATTTGTTTTTTTTTTTGGAGGTACCAGGAATTGAACTCATGACCTTACACTTGCCAGGCAGGTGCTATGCCACCGAGCTATATCCCCAGCCCGAGTCCAATCTTCTAACAGCAGGATTAGTGGCCTCATTCTGTGCCTCGAGGGACCAACAGCACGTCCCCAAGCAAAGGCCCGGGACACAGGGTGGGCTCCAGATGGTCACCTCAAGTCCAAAACAGAGCTGAACCAAGCCGCTGCTATGTTCTGTAGGTGCTAAGCCTCGACAGCTTTCCACCCACACCAAGACAGAAAGCACAGCCACCAGCTAAGGGCCACCCATCCCCAAGTGCCAGCTGGCCCCGCCTGGCCTGTCCTCCTGCTGGCAAGGGCTTCTTTAACTCCAGTGCAGTCTCAAAGATCTAACTCAGACAATCCGCTCTCATCCTGTAACACCTGTTAGCATTTTAAATCCCTTTAGCAGAAAATCTCTATGACCCTCTTTCAAAAAGGGGCAGGATGACCTGCATTTAAGTGAATCAAACTTCCTTAACCACCATCCATCCCAGGACTGGTGGCAAACATTTTAAAGCCTCAAAGAACGTGAAGCTGCAGTTAAAGCCATGGATTACACTTTTCACAGCTGTGACATCTTCATGGCACTCATTCTTAGCCACAGTTTAGCATGCAATCTTCACTCCAGCGGCCTGTCCAGTGTAATTAGCAGTGAGGCCAGCAGCCTCCCAGTGGCCACACCCAGCTGGGCCCACTGGCCCTGCATCAGAAGGCACTGGTGAGTTCTTGTCTCAACTTTACAGAAGCAACTCAGCCAGCGGAGGCTCTCACAACCATGAGCCTCACCAGGGGCATGCCCGTTCTATGCCCCTCGGGGACTACAGCAACAAGAGATATACAGAGTGCAGGAAGGCTGCTGGCAGGGAAATAGTGTGCACAGCGCGAGAGGGCACTGTACCCTGGGCCTGACTGGTGTCGTCAGCCTACATTGTGAGAAGTCTGCTCTAGAAGTGATGCAGAGAACAGACAGGCAATTCTGAGCACTGGCAGAGGGCAATGCCAAGTCCCAGGAGCACAGCACTCTGGTCACACAGGTGGCTCTAGACCACCACCTCAGGGGTGTTTCACACTGTTACGAATCCAGGGGAGCTAACAAGTACCATGTGTGGTGAGTGCAGAGGAAAGGTTAGAACAGTCTCAGTGGCTGTCACACGGGTCACCTCAAGAGAGACAGAGGGTAGGCAGGATCATGACTATCTCTTGAGACATCTGTGTAAGGTATGCCTATTACACTAAGCAGGTGTTACATTAATGATTTGAAATATCCAATTAAAAAAATGAAAAATACCGAAGACTGGGCCAGGATATAGGTCTGTCACACAGAGCCTGTCTGGCAAGCACGGGGTCCTGAATTCAATTCCCGGTACCCATGATAAAAATAACATAAAAATAAAGAATGTAGGAGCCTGGAAAGGAAAAGATGATTATCAAAGAGGAAGAAGTTACAGAAAGAAAAGAAAAGAAAAGAAAAGAAAAGAAAAGAAAAGAAAAGAAAAGAAAAGAAAAGAAAAGAAAAGAAAAGAAAGAGAGCAAGCTAAAACAAGCTCAAAAACTACAGGAAGGAGCTAGGCAAGGTGGTGCATGCCTGCAATCCCAGCACTTATGAGGCTGAGGCAGGAGGACTGCTGTGAGTTTGAGGCCAGATTGGGCTACACAGTGAGTTCAAGGTCAGCCTGCACTACACACCAAGACTTTGACTTAAAAAAACAAAATAAAGTAACAACAAAAAAACCAAAGGAAAGAAATAGTTCAAAGAACAAAACCATCTCTACAAAGGAAAGGGGAAAGGGGCTAGGAAAGGAACAAGATTGAATCTAGCTGCCAGTGTCTTAGCAATCTAAGCAGGTGGCAGGTGATGGAATTCCAAGCTAATAAACAAGCCTGGCCAGAACAGGGCCCTGTAATAGGTCATCAGGATTACAGAATGGCCACGAGGCCAGAAGGCTCCCCATTTTTTCTGTGATACAATGACATCATTTGCAGAAAAGAGGTAGGAGGTCAGGTTTAAAGAGTGCAGAGAGCCTTTACACACTGGTGAGTTTGTATGAAAGGTTCCCCTTGGCTGCTGGGCAGGGGGGCCTGCTGAGATGGGCTATCAACCTCAGGAGAGAGCCAGGGGTTCCACCTCAAGGCTTTGTGAAGCAGGCCCAGTGCTCAGGCGGCACAGGGATGGGTGCAGCACTATTTCCAGGCACGACCTATTAGAGCAAAGCTTGGTGCGGCAACAGGCACCCCGGAGTATGCAACATGGACGAACAGAAGAGCAGAGCAGGACTGATAACACTGAGAATGGTTTTAAAAACCTGGAGCAGCTAAAGAAACAGGTGTGAGAGTTAGAAGACTGTGGTCAGAGTTGGAAAGCAAGCGTTCATTCCTGGGCTTTTAAGCATAAAAAAAATTTTAGGAATGACCTATAATTTGGTAAGCACTCAGTTAGTAGCACGTAAGAAAGAAACTTTAAAGAACACGCATCCTTGTAACTTTGGACCCAAGCTTGGCAATTCATGGGTCAAATATTCTGTAGGCTTCCTGAGGCCTGTCACCTCGCTTCCCCTGCACGGATTCAGGCCCAAACACAGGACGACCCAGCAGGGGCTGGGGCAGCCCTGCATTCTCACCGTGATGTGGTTGTAGATGAGCTGAGACCACCCGAAGAGGTCGGCCAGTCTATAGAAGGCAGCCAGTTTACACCGCAGCAACTTCTCCCCTTTGTCATACGCGATGGAGTCAGAACCTCTGAGGTCATTCACTGGGGTCACCATACCAAGACCTGAAATAACAAAAGCAGAACTCAGGTATTAATAATTCTTATCAGATATAAATCAAGTAAAATAGATCCGAGATATGTATTTTCCACACTGGACCATAAACTTTCAAAAACAGAAAGACTATATTCGTCAACATCAATTAAGTTAGAAATAAGTAACAAAAAGGTAGTCAAATTTGTGGGACGTGGTAAGACATGCTGAGAAGGAAATTTATAACATTAAACATATATATTAGAAATGAAAAATTAAAGTTTTTTATTAAAGCAAAAGTTGATCCTTTAAGAAGATATAAAATTTAAAATAAGATAAAAATAAGAAAAATCTAAACAGTAAAACAAACCTCTAGCCATGCTTACCAACAAAACAGTGGAGACAGAGAAACAGCGTGACAGGCAGAGGGGACTATCGCTACACTCCTGTAAGTGCGGCAAGGGCAGTAAAGGGACACGAACTACCACACCATTTCTTCGACCAAACAGAAAAACTCTCCGAAGCTGACCAGAACAGATGCCCTGAAGAACCCTATTTCTACAAAGCTGAGTTTGCAGTTACAAAATTTCCACCAAGAAAACTCAAAGCCCAGATGCTCCTGTGAATTCTATCTAACTTTTCAGGAAGAAATAATACCAAGGTTAGAAGAACTCTTCCAGAATACTCTCCAGCTCATTCTAGAGGCCAGCATACCCTCAACCAGTGGCATACAGGGGCATTAGAGGACACTGGAAGGAAAAGCCCATTGTTTCTCATGAAAGTAAAAAATATTTCATACAACTTTAGCAAATAATCCAGCAATCTATGGAATTAAAGGACCATAACCAAGTTGGGTGTGGTAGCACACACCTGTAATCCCAGCACTCAGGAGGCTGAGGCAGGCAGACTGCTGTGGGTTCGAGGCCAGCCTGGGCTACATAGCAAGACCCTCTCTCCAAAAAAAAAAATAAGAAAAACAGGAATTTCTCTGTCTCTCCTCAGTGTGCAAGCAGAATAAGGAAAAGTAGGTAAGAAATACTGGCATGGATGGAATGATTCAGCCAAACTGATGTACTATACTATAAGCATTGTTTCTGATTAGTTATTGTAACTCACAAAGAGTTTAAGAAACCATGTAATAAGTCCTGTGCCTTGGAAGCAACAGAATCTCTCTGGTTTGCTAGAAAAGGACCCCTCCACAGTCAAGACGCTTCAGAGTTACAGCCTACTTTTACCATGACTGACTAAAACACAATTGTTTTCAAAATACTCAGCACCGTGGACTGCACTGTTGCATGCCCACATGCAGGCTTCTCCCTGGCCTGTGTAAAAAGTAAAAACTACTCACTCATGTTTAAGGCAGCCATCCCTCCCTGAGGAGCTGCTGGGTAGACGCTGGGCACGTTTGCTGTCATGAAGTCTGCGATCTGCTGTAACGCCAACAGACCTGTAGGATTCTTCCCCTTCCTGAACTGTTCTTGTATCATTGATTCCAGTTCTTCACAGAAAGCCTAATAAAATGCATAGGAAGACAGTGTACTGCCATTTCTCTCCTGTTGGGGTGGGGGTAGCTATCATATAAACCAATTTTTGTCTTTATTCTATGCTGAAACAACACATAGTTCTATTCATGAATTACAACTGGAAATATAAATGGACACATTCTTTCATGGTAAGTTATGCAGTAAAAGTAGAAGCTTAAAAACCTGAATAGGAATTCTATTCTTAGGAATGTATTTTAAGGATATCATCAGCAGGAAAGTGCTCACAGATATATTCCTAAGAACGTTCACTTCAGCATTACTGACAAAGGAGGGAAACAGTCTATATCCCAAACAACAGAGGGCTGACTTGGTACCTTGGGAATTCTGTGCATGCATTCAACTTGAAAAGCTAGGAAAATTAAATGGCATAAAACCTGCTCTTGATAGACTTTTAAAGGTCATAAAACACTATGCATAGTGTTTTACTATAGTTTTTTGTAAGAGTAAATACATAAACAGAGAATAAAAGTAAACATCAAAATGTTCATTGTAATTATCTTAGTGACAAAATCATTAGTGATTTTTGATGCCACTCTGCAATTTCCAGTATCTTCTCCAAAATACTTTTGAAATGTATTGTATACCAAATACATTTAATCAATCCTAGATTAGTCACAAAGGTCCCATTGGCTTGGTGGTGATTTTAATATAAAGTCACTATTGTAATAATAGATATTCTATAAATTCCCAAGCTACATTAATATAATTTTTCACATGTTCTATAAAGAAGTATCTGCCAAGTACATGATATGGAATATGAAAGTGTGAGCGCATTGGGTGAAGACCCACACCGAACCACAAGTACTCCAGGACTCGCTCATTTCACACTGAACTGGTTTCTAGTTTTCACTGCTCGGGCTGAAAAGAGACTGCAGGACACTGCTGAGGACAGCCTGAGTCCACCCTCGCTGGAGGAAGCATGCAGCCACACATGCACTGCGTTCACACACACGAGTGTCAGCCGGGCACTTGCAAGGACCTGTGATAAGGAACGTTGAGACCACACCTACAGTCACGCACAAAGGAGCAAGACGTGGCACAAGCAAGAAACAAACCACACAGGCTGCTGTGACTCCTCCAGCCCATCACGTTCATATTAGCTGACTCCACGATCTGGGAAGCTCCTCCTCTGGATTTCTGTGTGGCCAGCTCCTTCCTGGCAGAGTTGGGTTAAATCTTCCCTCCCAGAGAGACCAAAGTTCTACTCAGTCTAAGCACCCTGCTCCTTTTGGCAATGCACTTCTATTTGCTTTTCTTGTTTACCTTCTTCAGCTGGAATGTCCAGTCTGAGGCCTGATCTGGGTGATTACATACACGTCCTACATATGTCAAAACTCATTAAGTACCAGGCATGGTGGCGCATGCCTGTAATCCCAGCTACTCAGGAGACTGAAGCAGGAGGATCACAAGTTCAAGGTTAGCTGGACAATTTAGTGAGGCCTTGCCTCAAAATAAAAATGGGGGGTAAATAAAAGGGTTAAGGATGTAGTTCACAGGTAGAACATGTAAGGCCCTGGATTTGATCCTCAATATGCGGGGAAAAAAACCTATCAGGCTATATACATAAGATCAGTACACTCGACCATATGTAAGTCATACCTTAACATTAACAACTCAAACAAAGCTATTCATTACAGGTCTGTATGTCTTATTTACCGCTAAATCCTTAGTTCTAATCCATATGTCCCCAAAGCACCTAAGACACAATCAGTGTTTCCCCAAAATACTGAGAGGATAAAGCAAGAACATGTTAGAAAAAAAAAAGAGAAAAAAGCACACGGAAGGGCAGCAGCAACAACATGAAACCACCATGTTGACAGATCCACATTCTCTGAAGATTCAACCTGTGCATACTCGGGTGGCTGTGACTGATTCAAACCCAGGCTGGGGAGAACCTCGTGCTATTAACTTATTACTCTGTGCCAGAACCAACCGAGCTCCAGGCTGAGTGGCCACTATCTGAAATGCTGGGGACCAGAAGTGATTCAGAGCTGGAGTTTTTCAGAACTTGGAATATTTTGTGTAGACTTTACCGGTTATGCATCCCTAATCTGAAAATCTGAAAATCTGAAATCCAAAACGTTCTGATTAGCATGATGCTCAACATGTTTCAGGTTTCAGATTTTTGGGTTAGGGATGCTCAAATGCATCCTAGAGGAAACAGTAATTTTCGAGGTGTCCCAATGAATAAAAGACCCCTGGAGAAACACAATGAAAAGAATAAAAACAAATATCTCCTTCCCTTTATGATACTGAAGAGCTCTCACGTCAGACAACATAAGCTAAGCTGAATTTTTTCAACAAACATCACACATATTCAAGGAACCCATTTCCAGTTTGAAGAGAGACTGATGCCACCACCCATACAACAGAGCACAGAAACTGAGACATCAGAAGAGGAAAGCCCACATTTGTTCCGGGACATGCTTCTCTTACAGGACTTTGCAGAATCATGGACACCCTCTTCTTCTGCTCCATCATATTGAAATCCTGGCGAAGGTCCGGTGCCATGTTCCTCTCCCGCAAGTATTCTGGGTTGTTCTCATCCACTCTGTCGAAGTACCTCTCCTTGTGAGGAGCTGTGGTCGGGGGTGGTGAAGTCACCACAGCAGCCCGAGTATCACCATTCATGGCACAATCTTTCTAAATTCCTATAGAATCAAAACAAAGAAACCACTGTGTGTGAATCAGTGTTCAATACCATTCTGTGATGAGCACATCAACCTGGTGAACACCACCTTCCTCGTGGAGACACCTAACGGAGGCTTCTTTGTGGCTCCAGAGGCGCAAGCAGATCCTCCACTGACACATGTCCTGGCCACTGTTCCACAGCAGACAATGGCAGAGCCATCTAACAAGCTATGATGTCCTCTGACACCCGCACAGAACTAGACATGAAGCTCCTGAGCAGCTTACACTCCTGCTTTGCACTCGCAATTTACCCCATACGTATCATTTCTACAGAACATCTGATTTCTTCCTTTTTCGCTTCATTTTCTTCTTTCCTTTTTGGGCACTAAGGATGGAACACAGGGCCTCATCCATATGCCCTCAGTTTTCAGAAATGTTATTTGGAAAAATGGTATTTTTCCAAAAAGGTATCAGCAGTAATCCTGCAAAGAGTTAGTAGGAGAGAAGCTGCTCACACATCTGCATTCACACATATGGAAAACGCTCCTCATTAAAGTCACCTTTCTGGTACAGAGAACAAGCAGCAGGTATTACCAGAAACGTCAACATGCTCCAGTCTGTGAATACCCTAAAAAGATGCCAGAACGGCTCAACTTGCGATGTTTGTGTGGCCATTTGGGTAGAATGTGAACTTGACTGGGTTTGCGAGCAGCCCAGGGGATTGGTAGAGCACACTCCTGGGTGTGTGGAAGTGGTTGTGGGGGTGTGGCTTTGGGATCTGTGTCTGGCCCTGACCCCTTCCTCCCTGGCTGTTCCCCTGCTCTGCTTCCTAGCTGCCAGGAACTAAGCAGTCTGGCTCCGCTGTGCCCTTCCACCATGACGCTCCTGCCTTGGAGCCAGCCAGCCATGGATTGAGCCCTCTGAGACCAGGAGCCAGATAAGCTTCTCCTTTAAGTTATGGGTCTTGGTTGGGTATTATGTCTGAGATGGGAAAGCCTGTAATACAGCTACTTCTTTTATATTCTTTCTAACCCCAACCATTCACTTGAAATGACATTCAAATGTACTATATTATGGTTCATCTTAAACTGCTAAATCCCTAAGTCCCTCTGCTTATCACACAGGAGTTCAATTTCTAACCTGTTGCTATGACAGCTTCAACAATATATATGCAGTGTTTACTGAGCATCTATTATGTCCAGTCATTTTGTGCTGGGCAAAAAAGATATCAGACGTGATCCACACTATGAGGAAAGTCAGACACAACTCAACAGGGGAGACAGAGTCACAGTGGATTTTGGAAGCAACTATAACTGCTTCCTGGTTCCCAGAGAAGAGTGAAAAAGGAATCTTTAAAAGCCAAGGAGTTCAAGATAAGGCACAGATTTCTTTTCTTTAGCTACACACTGCTATGTAAACCAGGTAAGGACTGCAGACCAGATTGCTGATCAGACTGCCAGAGTTCCACTCCTTCAATTAGGAAATCTACAACCTTAAAATTAAAATATGCATACTCTAGGCCCAATAACGGAAGTTAAGTTTTTTGGTTTTGTTTTTTGAACACTAGGAATTAAACCCAAGATCTGAGCTACATCCCCAGCCCTTTTGATTTTTGAGATAGAATCGTGCTAAATTGCCCAGGTCAGCCTCAAACTGGTTATCCTCCTGCCTCAAGCTCTCAGGTAGCTGGAATTACAGGTATAACTTAATTTTAAGAGTGTGTTACAACATAAAACTTTGGGGGAAGGGAAGCTCAGTGGCTCAGGACTTGCCTCAAATGGGTGAGGCCCAGAGTTCAATCCCTAGCACCACAAAACAGAGGAAGACTCTAGGAAAGCTCTACATCCAGTCTGCAAGTTACTACTTCAACCAATACTTCAGAAGAGGTTAGAACATAGATGCACAACAAAACTTTCTGGAAACATTATTTAGACTACCTTAAGATAATTTAAAATAAAATAAGGGCTGGGGATTTAGCTCAGCGGCACAGCACCTGCCTGGCAAGCACAAGGTCATGAGTTCGATTCCTGGTACCAGAAATAATAATAATAATAATAATAATAAAATAAAATAAACTTAAAAGTAGAAATAAATGAATGATTGCAATGTAAGTACTGAAATCTGTTCAACCCAGCCCCCTCTTCTGTGGGACTGAAGGCTGAACCCAGAGTTTCTGTATTGAGCTACACTCCCAGGCCTTTTTTTATTTTATATTTTGAGTGAGTCTTGCTAAATTGCAAAGTTGCCCAGCTGCTTGAACTTGTGACCCTCCTGCCTCAGCCTCCCAGAGTGTTGGAATTATAGGCATGCGCCACCATTCTCAACTTCAACTCTACTTTCTCTAAGCATGAGAACATCTCATTCTCCCAGTAACTTCAGGTCTCAAGGACCCCAGGTCAGCAAAGCTTCAGGGAGGACTGGACTTCAGATTTCCCTTTCTTCTCAGGGAAAACTAAAGGACACCCAAGAAAGTCCGAACTCCACAAGGAGACCAACCACTTGGAGGCACTCAGGAGCCCTTGTCACACCTGCGGGCTCTGCAGAGTGCTGCACAGAAACTCACGGCGGCAGCAGCTTCCCCAGTGCTTAGCGCCACTAAGCACTTGCGGAAGGAAAGGAAGTGGGTTCTTTCTTTGTTTTGTCTGCAGTGAGGAGGTTGAGCCCAGGGCCTTCACACTCAGCTACATCCCCAGTCCTTTTAACATTTTTTTATTTTTTAACTTCAAGGCAGGGCCTCACTAAGTTACCCAGGCTGGGCTGACACCTGCAGCCCTCCTGAGGAGGCGGTTTCTTCCTCTCCACCACTGCTTCCTCACAGGCACAACGGTGGCTCAGAGTGTTTTCAGACTGCATAAAGTGGCTGACGTGGGAGATCAAGGTTAAAACCGTGAGATAGACTGGAGCCTTGACTTTAGTATAAATCAGTGAAATGCTAAGAGCCCCAGTTTTGTTTTGTTTTTTTGGTACTGGAAATTGAACTCAGGACCTTGTGCTTGTTAGGCAGGTGCTTGTGCCACTGAGCTCTATCCCCAGCCCCAAGAGCCCCAGTTTTGAACGACCCTGCTAACTTCAAATACGGAGGTTAAGGGCTGGGGACATAGCTCAGTGGCACAAGTGCCTTCCTGGCAAGCACAAGGTTCTGAGTTCAATTCCTGATACCAAAAAAAAAAAAGTCAATATCCAAATACTGCGGTTAACAGCAAAAATAAACCTGTGAATAAAATAAAGCCCTGGGGCTGGGGATTTAGCTCAGCGGCAAAAGCGCCTGCCTGGCAAGCACAAGGTCGTGAGTTCGGTTCCCGGTACCGGAGAAAAACCAAAAAAAAATAAAAAATAAAATAAAGCCCTGAAACTGACTGGTAATTTGTGCTCATCTTCATCCTCCAGTTGTACTAAAACGACAACCATGTAAAGGGAGGCTGTTTAGTGTGGATTTCTTAACCCTGAAAGGAGTAAGTGACACAGTTAAGTGACTCAGCGCAATGGGTTCAGGTCCTGCTGACACTAAGCACACCAGGAATCTCGGGAAATGCCAGAGACAGAAACAGACTACTGACGGAATTCCACGCAAGCAGTTTTACTATGTCCACAGAGCACAACACAGAGCAGTGTTACTCTGTGCACAGAGAAAACTGAAGTACAAATGCGAAAACAATGCCAGAAAATGACAGCGCAGTTATGGTGCTGTTTCTCTGGCAAATTAAAGACCAACAAACCCAAGAAACTCAACTGGACTGGTTAACTTGAAGCACGTGAACCTGTTATTTAGATCATTAAAATGTGTTGTGCCCACATACTAAAGTTTGTACCGTAACCTTAAATTTTATCTTTAACATCCTTCATTTAAGCACTGAACACCCATGACTTCTTTCTTCTTGGGTTAATACAGAGGTACTGCTCTCAATCTATAAAGAGAAAAATATGGAAATCACCCTGCGCTGATTTTCTTTCTTTTTTTTTTCTTAACAATGCACTGATTTTCTTCAAGCAGCTTTGTCGGCCACCTGCACCACCAAGCCTTGCTCCGCCAGAGCCTCAGGGTGCTCAGCACAGCTCCCTCTCTCCACAGCTGGTGTGTGCCTCAGCTGGTCCTGATCCAGACACGCTAAAACAGAAACCTAAAGATCACACTGAGACAGTGGACATCTGAACACTGACTAGATATTGAGGTATAAAGGAATTACTGTTAAAAAGCTTAGATGTGGCTGAACTATAATCCCCAGCACTCTAGGAAGCTGAGGCAGGAGGATCAAAAGTTCAAGTTCAGCACAGGCAATTTAGCCACTTAGCAAGATCCTGCCTCAAAATAAATTGTTTAATGACCCACCTGTCTAACAGCTGTTCAGATTTACCACAAAGGTGCACTGTTCAGGCTTATGATTTATGGCTCGTGGGTTTTTTGGTTCGGGTTTTTTTCTTTGTACAATTCTGCACATCTTATTGACAGAGCCTCAAGGTCTCTTTCTGCACAGTACTCCTTGTTTATACAGTGCTGTGACTTCTACTGATTGTACTGTACAACACATTACTGTAGTTTTACTTTCTGTTATACATGACAGCACTGCATGTAAGAGTTACGCAAATCAAGGCAAAGACATCAAGTTGGAGTTTCTTTTGACCTTTTCTCTGTTCTGAACTCTGTAATGTACACACTATACACAACTCATTAGCAACCAATTCAGCTAATGACCTAGTCACAAGACCAGAACTCGTCCTCAAACGAGTATCTGATTAAAAAGGGTTGAGCATGCAGCTGAGTGCAAAAGCCCTCAAGTCAATCCCCAGTGACAACAAACTCACCATCACCTGAGGTTTCTATTATGGTTAGGCACGTACAGAAACATTTATGGATGAAGTAATGTGTTGCATAAAGTATCCCTAAGGCAACACTTAGGGTCACACAAAAGAAACAAGACTATTGTGGCTTTTATCTAAATGTCTCCTCAAACCTCACACACTCATAAGGTGATTGGATCTAGGGTGCGTGATACTGGGATACGGATTTTTTGTTTGTTT